AAAACTGGGAAAAAAAATAGTGAAGGAATGAAATAACAGCTTTCTTTTTAAATGTGGATGCTATAGACTGAATTGCTTCCCCAAAAATGTGTATATTGAATCTCTAACCCACAATATGATTATATTTGAATATAGGGCCTTTATGAAAGTAATTAAATCGTAAGGTTAAATGAAATCATAAAGTAGGGCCCCAATCCAATAGGATTAGTGTCCTTTGAAGACAAGACACCAGAGAGGTCATTCTCCATCACGGGAAGACACAGCAAGAAGGCCATCTACAAGCCAGGAAGAAGACCCTCACCAGAAACTGACCACGCTGAGCCTTGATCTGGGACTTCCAGCCTCCAGAGCTCTGAGAAGATAAGTTTCTGTTGTTTAACCCACCCGGTATATAGAGTTTTGTATTGACAACCCAAGCTGGCTTAGACAGTGAATTATCACCATCCCTGTTTCCTGAAATAAAGAAGTGTCAGGATCATGTTATCAGTGCTGTGGCCACCCCACTAACAAGATGACCTCAGATTGAGAGTTATTTGCCTTGTTATTTAGAATATTCAGAGATGTGAAAAGGAAGATCTATGTAGGGAAAATAACAGTAGACAAAACTTCAGATAAAGCAACTTTATAACTATATGTCAAATATGAATGTGTGGCTATATATATGTAACATATCTGTTGTAATGCAGTTGATGGTTAAAGTCAGGGCTGGGCATGGTGGCTCATGCCTGGAATCCCAGCACTTTAAGAGGCCAAGACAGGCAGATCACAAGGTCAGGAGATCGAGACCATCCTGGTGAACACGGTGAAATCCTGTCTCTACTAAAAATATAAGAAAATTAGCCGAGCATGGTGGCACACACTTGTAATCCCAGTTACTCAGGAGGCTGAGGCAGGAGAATCGCTTGAACCCAGGAGGCAGAGGTTTCAGCGAGCCAAAATTGTGCCATTGCACTCCAGTCTAGGTAACAGAGTGAGACTCTGTCTCAAAAAATTAAAAAAAAAAAAAAAAAGAAAAAAAAAGAAAAGAAAAAGAAAATAAAATATTTAAAAAAACACTTTTGGAATGTGGTTTCTGGGGCTGGAATTATGGCCTTTATACTTACTAGTTGTGTTTCAATAGACAAATAACAACTCTCTGAGCTTCAGTTTCTTCCTTGGTAAAATGGAGACAATAATAGTACCTTTCTCACAGTACTGTATGAGAATTAAGTGAGTCATCCTGTAAAACTTCTAAAACAGTGACTGCTGGCAAGAGCTGCATAGGGGTTCATTTTACCATTACATAGGCTCACATCAGCAGAGACAAATTGAAGGAGTTTTAATCAAAATATAGAAAAAAAGGAAAAAAATCAAAAGTCAAAACAAAAATCAAAACGATTATTGAATTCATAGACAGAGAGAGTACAAGGATGGTTACTAGAGGCTGGGAATGGTAGTGAGGGGCTGGGGAGAGGGGAGGTGAAGATGATCGATGGGTATAAAAATATAGTTAGAAATAATGAGTAAGACCTACTATTTGATAGCACAACAGGGTAACTATAGTCAATAACTTAATTGTACATTTTTAAATGAAGAGTGTAATTGAATTGTAAGTCAACAGATAAATGCTTGAAGGGATGGATACCCCATTCTCCATGATGTGCTTAATTCACATTGTATGCTTGCATCAAAACATCTCATGTACCCTACAAATATATACACCTACTATGTACACACCCAAAAATTAAAAATAATTTAATTTTTTAAAGCATAGCTTTTCTATCTAACCTCTGCACCCACTTCACATAGCCTGTGCAATTTCCTTACCCAACCCTCCAAAAAAATGAAACTCTGGTTTATCTCTAAAATTTCTTTTACTTCCAAACTTATTTGCCACCTGTGCCTGGAAGAATCTACAGAAATAATTAGGACATGGAGCAAGAGAGAGCGTGATGCAAAAAAGGAGAATTATAGAGAAGGTCAAGATTAGAAAGTTTTAAAAATGCTAGATTTCATCAATTTACAATTACATAAAGTAATCAGGAGTTCTATGTTAATTGCCTATCATTCTCAAACAACTGCTATACCACTGCTCAGAAGAAAATATTTTCTCCAAATCAAAACCATTTCAAATGACTTTTGTTTTCACATTTATATTCTTCATGACAGATCTTCAATCTCTAAAATAATAATTGTGACAAGAATCTGAACAGATACTTTTTTAGGACAATCAAAACTGGTCTCACTTTCTCTCATATAAGTCAAATTCAACCTCTTGCTTCCTTATTTAGGATTCATCTTTGCAAAGTTAATTCTGACCCCAGTGCCACATTTTTTTCTCTGAGGGAATTTTCTCTCAGCAGAAATTCAGCTCCTGTCATAAATGTAATAGTGGGATCATTTCTCCATGAGAAGGGGGCAAATAGGTCTAACAGTGGACACGGTAAAACGTATTCACCTAATTTGCTGTGTGCTGGGAATGGGAGAATTAAGATCAGCCTTTTCCTATTATTTTCATCAATCTTAGAGGGATCTTTAATCTGGGTTATTTCTCATGCATATGGTCATTAACTCAGAAGACTGATTTTGTTTATAAAATGTGCTTTGAGGGTGTAGCAAATTTTATATGCTTTCTTTGTAAAAATTTAAAGATATTATTTATAACCACTAAATTACATGTCATCAGTCCCTCTCAATTTTATAAGTGAATTGAGTTTGAGGTAAAATTTAGAACCTATCAACTTGATCAACTAACTATATGCCAGCTGTGACTGAATAAGGCTCCAAGTTACATATGTGACAGAATCCTTCTGAGCAATATTAGATGAAGTAAAAGAACAACTGACTCAATATATTAATGGACTCAGCCACTGGCAGTAATTCTTGAGGGGGTCCTTTTGTTCTTAAGAACTAGCCTGATTTATTGTAGATGGAGACTCAAAGTAAAATCCATGGAAGACATGTGATCACAGGGACGGGGAAATAATTTAGTCATTTACCTTTCATCAAATAATCAATTTATAGAATATATGTGTGGTGGTTTAAAATAATATTAAGCAAAACAGTTACCTTAAAAAACTAAAAGCAATTAGCAACAGAAAAAACAAAGTAATAGTATCCAGAGAGAAGTGGAAAGCTATTTATTGAGAAGCTTGGACATGTTGTCAACTAAGTGGCTAATAATGACATTTCCTTTTTTTTTTTTTTGAGACAGTGTCTTGCTCTGTCCCAAGCTGGAGTGCAGTGGCATGATCTCGGCTCACTGCAAGCTCCGCCTCCCAGGTTCAAGCCATTCTCCTGCCTCAGCCTCCCGAGTAGCTGGGACTACAGGTGCCTGCCACCACGCCCAGCTAATATTTTGTATTTTTAGTAGAGACAGGGTTTCACTGTGTTAGCCAGGATGGTCTTGATCTCCTGACCTCATGATCCACCCGCCTCGGCCTCCCAAAGTAATAATTACATTTCAACTAGTTCAGTGTTTTATTTTTTTCTCTATTTATTATTTTTAAACATAATTTCAAAACTTAGGAGTTATCTGTCTGTGGAAGCTTCAAATTTATTTAAGTAAAGAAGGTTATGAGAGGATGTTTCAATTGTTTGATAACTGCAGTAGTAAAGCTGTTTCTATTAACTATTCCAGATTTGGATTTGACCAAGACTAATATTTAATTTACCTATGTAAATACATGCCAAGTGATAATTACTCATCATTAATATTTTTTACAAATATTATTTAGTAGATATTAATCGTATGAAAATATTTTTAGTGGAAGCAGGCAGGAGCAGTTAGATTAATGAAAATCTTAACCCTGAGTAGGCATTGCTGTACACAGTCTCATTTCAATTATTCCACATGTAAACCCTTAGCCATGTTCTGTTAAGCAGCTGCATAGCATACGTCGCCAGAGAAGAATGTAAACACAAGACCACTGGAGAATATGCTAGTCATGCAGGCAGCCTTCTGCTGTTAGGGAGAGCCAGCATCCAGAGGTTTAATATTTGTCAAAAGTTAAAATGTATTAATGTCGAAAGAAAGCATTCCCCTAATCTCACAACATGGCGCCTTATGAGACACAATGCTTGCAAGTTAAGTTCTGCCCACAGTAGATGTCCAAAGCAGGAAGGAAACAAACTATATGAACTATAGACTCTCAATCTACAAATACTGATAGCACTGACTACGACCAGTTTATAGTATTTCCTAACTCTTCTGGAAAGAAAATAACATCCTGAAAAAAATAACTCATAAACTATTCATTTTCTCCCTCAGCTTTCTACTAATTGTCCTTTGTGTAAAGATAATAGAATCTTAATTTATCAATCAGCCTACAAATCACGGTAATAGTAAATTCAAATCTACTTATAAGTTAATGGATAACTCTTATTTATCTCCATTTTGTCTCTGTGTAAAACTTTCCCTGTATCTCTATACAAATCAGTTTTTAGTAAATAAATAAGGAAAAGGGAGAAAATACTGTACTCTGAGTCAAATGAGCATCTGATTCACTGAATAAAAGCTTTCTGGCTTCAAAATGAACAATGATAATGCCCTAAAAAAGTTGACCCAACTTTGATTTGATATAGTAAAAGGAGCTCATTACAGAGGAAAATCACACATAATTTACGGTTTTTGTCTGTAGAGCTACAGAACTTTAATCCATAGCTCATGAAAGGGTGCAAGAGCAGCTTGAAAATTATGCTGAGCTTAATTATACTTAATGTGAATTATTCAGAAGTGCAGACAGAGACTAAAAATTTATTTCATACAAAGAAGCTTGACATTTTAATTGGTCCTTCAGAATAGAGACAAAACAATTTCCTCTCAAGAAAATTTACATCTCCCTTATCAGAGCCGCAGCCTCAGCCAAGCAGAACTTCATTAACAAGATTAATCATCACGCCAGTGTCTGCTTCATCAGGTGTATGGTCCAGGTGAAAAGAGGAATATAAAGTGATGACTGACATTTCTAACAGACAGGATTGATTCAAGGAACACAAAATGACAGATTGAGCCACCATACCTTGGTCATTAGCCATTTTGTCAGGGTGTTCCACTGTGTGGGAAAAAAGAAATAATATTATTATACTGACATTTCCTAGCAAGAAAGCTGACATATCAAACCAACAGTTCTTTTTAGCAAGTTTTTATTTCAAGGTTAGTGCCCTATTGAAATACAATTGATAATGACCCAAACTTGCATGTTTATTTCTATTAAATAAGTATTCAGAGAAAAAAAATTGAAAATAATGTTTTTGCTGTACAAATTTATCCTAAAATTATCTTACTTTTCATATCCCTCTAAACATAACTCAGAACAATTACATAAATTTAATTAAAACTAGAATTAATAGTAAAAAAAAACCCACACACAATTACCAAGTAATTATCACCCATATATATATAGTTAAGAAAGTTCAGGAAGCTATTTTCTTGTATGTGGCTTTTCTTTAAACAACTTCACCAATTCTCACATCGATTGGGTAAAATAATTGGCTATCATAAATATGGTAGAATGTAATCTAAATATCTTGATAAATCTTTAGCCCTTGTGAAGATAGCTCTTGAGTTGTTGACAATTTCAGATGACTTATAAGTAATAGTCTTAAAAATGACTTTTTGAAATTTAAATTTAAAAATATAAAAATTTTAAATTTTAAACTCGCTAAATTTTGTTTTAAAGATGACTTTTTTCCTGCTAATCAAATGAACCTAAATAAGAGGTAAATCTCTAGTATTATCATATTTATGAAAATTATATGATATTTTGACCAAGGCAGACCTTCATAAGCTTCCCTCCATCAATTACTAATAGAATTATTTTTACTTAGACTTGACCGTCTTTGAGTTTTGAGTCTTTGGGGCATATTTAACTCACTTAATTCCTTTCAAACTTGATAGATAGGATACAACACTTGCCAATTGCTTCCTGTACATGTCTCAGTAAAACTCACATAGAGAAAATATAATAAGCAGCACCTGATAATATAGTCTCTCATCTGATGTGGCGCTATTATAGCACATCAATCATCGTTTGAAAAATACCTTAAATGCCCTACAGGTGGTGATCCTTCCTTTTCTAAATAAAGCAGCACAAATCATTGTCTAATAAGAATGTTTAGAATTGAAATACGTAAATATTGCTTCTGTTAATGAAAGCCCCTTTCAGATGAACAGGGTTTATGTCTATTACATCCTAAGAAAGATTTCTAAACCAGAAATCAATTATAATTTCTTTCATTTAAACATAACATATAGGCATATTCTATGAAAAGATATCTTGATAAGTAGATTTTGAATTGTGAATTACTATTTGGAAAATGGTATATATACAATTATTTTTATATTATTATTATTATTATTTTTAAGATGGAATCTTGCTCTGTCACCCAGGCTGGAATGCAGTGGCCGATCTCAGCTCACTGCAACCTCTGCCTCCCATGTTCAAGCGATTCTCCTGCCTCAGGCTCCCAAGTAGCTGGTACTACAGGCATGTGCCACCATGCCTGGCTAATTTTTTGTATTTTTAGTAGAAATGGGGTTTCACCACGTTAGCCAGGATGGTCTCAATCTCCTGACCTCATGATCCACCCACCTCAGCTTCCCAAAGTGCTGGGATTACAGGCGTGAGCCACCGCGCCCGGCCAGTGTTTATTATTTTACAATTCTATAAGTATTATTTTAAAAAGTTATTGAGATACAATTGAAAAGTAAAAGGCTGCCCATATTTAATGTATGCAATTCAATGAGCTTGAGAGTAAGGATATACTTATGAAACCATCACCACCTTCAAAGCCACAGACTTGCCCCTAAACTCCCAAAGTTTCCTCCCACCCCTATTATTATTATTTATTGTGGTAAAAACACAGTATATGATCTACCATCTTACTAAATTTTAAGTACATAATACAGTTATATTATTTATAGGAACTATGCTGCATAGCAGAGCTGCAGAATTTATTTATCTTGACACTCTGATGGGCTAGTGGTTAGAATTTGGTGCTCTCTGAAAGTTTTAAATAAGTTTTATGAAATCTTGTACCTTGTCAAGATTTAACAAACATTTTTTAAAGGTTTACCAGTCATTTAATTTATTTAATCACCACAATTTAATTGTATCTAGAGTTTCTCTTCTGTTTCCCATTGAAAATTAATGGCTTCTCAAATACATTTTATTATAGTGTTTTATTATGGTATTGATAAAGGTACTTTTGACAGGCATTTGCATTATATGTAGCTTATGGACATTAATAGGATTTTGAACTGAGATCCTAACACAGTTGTGGAGAAAGGACAGTATGTTGTTGGAAGTGCTGTATCAGGTCTCCAGCAACAATGACCTGATCCTTGACAGGATATGTCAAGGTCATAAGTGCAGTCACAACCAGGTCATAACCAGGAAGTATGTCAGCTTGGCAGCCAGATCGGGACACACTTAAGAAACTATCCTCATCAGCATCTCATATTAAGGTGAGAACTCTTTAGAATTATGTCAAAAAAGATGAGAATACCACCCTTATCTCATTTCCACTCCTTGTCTGCCCTTTATCTTTAATCATATACATGCATTGTCTGCAGTCTAAGATATTTTTAGCAAGGGATAAATAACTACATGTTATGATAGACAAACCCATTCTCATTCTTACCTTTTGAATTTATTTTTCTACTAACAAAGCTGCACTGAATAGAACTTGAGAAATTTTGAATGTCTCAAAATGTTATCTACTGAAGAGTATTTTCCAACAGGGACCATATGGATTCTCATAACTACCTTTTATTAGAGACAAAAATGACATCTGTGCTTTGATTTTTTTCTATCATATGTTTCTATCATTTGTCAAGAAAAATCATGTATTTTTGTCATAAAAGAATTTGACAACTAGAACTTTTTTCTCTTCTGGTCCAAAGCTTTCAGTCCTATATTCTTAGATAGGAGAGAGACACATTTCAGAATGATGACTAAGGATGCCCAGAGAATTTACTGTGCTCTATTGGGCTTTCATGCTGAATACCACTCTTTTTTGTGTAGGAAGTGACTCCCTCCCTCCACCAGATTCCTCTGTGGTCTACTCCAATGGGAGCATCCTTCCTCTATTACCTGATAGGCCAGCATGGAGAAGTATACTTTGTTAGCAGGAAAAGCCCACAGGATAGGGCAGAGATAGACAAAAGACTTCCAATAATTTGACAGTGTGTACGTATCTCAATGGGACCCTGGGGAGGATTTGCGGAAAGAAGGTGGGTATGTGCAGAGTCCTATGTGGTCAAGTAATCAAGGTCAAGACTCTTTTCATTAACATTCCAAAGAAAGAATTAGATACATCATATATGTGTACCTACATAAGTTTGTAGTGAGATAATCCCTTTCTAATTACAAACGTCCTTTTAATTAAACAGTGATTATTGACTGAGTTTCCTGTGCATCTCTGACTGGTTGTTAATACCAAAAAGACTAAATGCTAGCCTCTAGAAGAAAATGCTGCGATCATTGCAAAGGCTAAATATGAAGGAATGATCATTGCAAAGGCTAAATATGAAGGAATGAAGTTTGTGGACACCTGCCTGGGGTAAGCGTTACTATGAAACACTTGCCCATTACCCAGTAGAGTACTGGGAGCTTTCTCAGCTTCAGGACATCTAAGCCTTTGTCTCGGGCAAATGAAGTTACATGCCGATGAACAGAGTATTCTTTGGTGCAGCTTTGGAAACTGAAAATCTTAAATCAGAGAGCAATAGCATGATTTTATCTTTGGTGTAGATTTAGCTCTACACCAAATCTTTAAAACACTTATGTTGTAGCTTTAAATCTCTTATGATGAGTAATTTATTTGTCTTAGAACATTTGTCATTGTAGGTGTCTTGTAAGATGCATGCATGTATAAAATTATTAATAAAAGTGACCAATATCAATATTTCTGAGTAATTCTAAATAATCAAAAACTTATTTTAGCATATGAGCAACATGTATTTAAAATAGAATTACTATTATCGAGCATGACATTTAGGGTAGACAACACTAAACATCAAATCAGGGTATTAGAAATAACTCTTTGAACTATTATGTCATAGAACAAATTCCTGAACTTGTTCTTAGTTTTGAAAATAATTTTCGAGATGTGTTTTGGACACTTAGGATAAACAGTACCAAATGAAATACTGAGCTCATTAAACAATCCCTAGGATGGCTTGTGGGCCTGCAAATCTTATAACTCATCACTCTGCTGTTTAACACATTTGGATGCCTTACATTGTCTTCAACCTTTCCTCAGATCTCTCAGTTGGCAAACATTATGAGTATGAAATTAATTTGGCACTCATCTATAGGTAAAAATGAAGCATTTGCAAAATACGATCTAGTTACATTTCATGCTGCTACAAAATGAATAACCAGTTGCCTTTTGATTGCTCATTTGGAGTGAAACCTGATTGAGATATGAAGTCCCCAAAATTTAGATAGACAAAGATTAGCTCATTTCTATCCTACCTCCCTCCCAACTTCTCTGTCATTAAGAACTGTCATGCAAGCTTTGGCTGAATGCTTGCTTGTGTGTTGTTGGCAAACTTTCAGATTAGCTGCCACCCAAACCCAGCTTTTGAATAGCTCACTCATCAGAATTCTGAACTCTCTTATTTACTAGGGTACCTTTCCTAGAAGAATTGAGGAATAGGCTATACAGTTATTCTAAGACTCTTCTTCTAGTGTGTCAAACAATTGCGTGAGATACCAAACATTCATGTGTTTCTAATTTTTTAGTTTACTATCATGTATTAAGTTTTCTGCCAGTCGTAGAGATATGATGTGATCACAGATTTAAGAGCTAAGTTATTCTTCGTTAGAACAACACATATCATGCCTTAAATATACAACTTCACATATTAGCTGTGAAACTTATTTCAAATTATTCAATTGTTAAATGAATTAAACATTCAAAAATTTTGAATAAACATTCAAAATTAAACATTCAAAATAATTTGAATGTTTCAAATTATTTTCAGTAGTTAAATGACTCTTCAAACCATTTGCCCCCAGAAGAATAATACTGTGCTCTAAAATAGTAAGTACTTATATGGAAATATTTTGATGTAATCACTACTATTCAGCTTTAGTGTTTTTCTGTATGGACATCTTTCTTCTAGATATCATATTGCAAATTTTTTTATAGTTTCTACCTTGACACTTTACAATAAATACACTTTTTTGTTTGTTTGTTTTGGAACTTTCTGTCTTGTCATATCAAAATTTTATTTAATATATAAGGGATAATAGTACCTGAAAGGAAATGCCTAAAGTTGAAAATAATATGCTATTCACATAATTCAATACATTTTAATATTTATCCCCTTATATAAAATGACTGACGCATTTCATTATATTTTGAATAGAACCAATATACATGATATCAATACAAACTTCTAGAAGGACCCTAAATGAAAAAAGTCAGGTTAAATATGTTTGCCGGCTGGGCGCGGTGGCTCAAGCCTGTAATCCCAGCACTTTGGGAGGCCGAGACGGGTGGATCACGAGGTCAGGAGATCGAGACCATCCTGGTTAACACGGTGAAACCCCGTCTCTACTAAAAAAATTCAACAAACTAGCCGGGCGAGGTGGCGGGCGCCTGTAGTCCCAGCTGCTCGGGAGGCTGAGGCAGGAGAATGGTGTGAACCCGGGAGGCGGAGCTTGCAGTGAGCTGAGATCCGGCCACTGCGCTCCAGCCTGGGCGACAGAGCGAAACTCTGTCTCAAAAAAAAAAAAAAAAAATATGTTTGCCATGTGCTGATGGCAGATCTTTCTTTGATATGTTGGCTTTGAGCATAAAAAGATACATTTTAATTTATTTTAAATGTCCACTGCAGCCATGTTGCCAACAAGAGATGGCGCAGGGCTATTTCTAACACAGACTGCAAAGCTATTTTATAACAATCCCACAGGAGAAGAAAAGCATAACAGGAAAGTATTCAAACCTTTCAGAGTCCTGAAGAGGATGGGATCAGAGAGCGGCCCCACTCCTTTCAAATTTCGTGCTTGAATCCGAAAGTAATACATAGTGTCAAGGTTGAGATCCATGATTTGATGAGTAAGCCGATCACCACTGATTGTTTCCATAATCCAGTCATCAATTGGGATGTTCTTGTCCAAGGTATAAAACAAGATGTAAGCTGCATAAATAGACAAATGTGACTTAATTTGTTGTACTACATGCTGCAGTTCTGTTTCCAAATACCCATGTTTTCCAAATGTAATTTACAATAATTATATGTCCACAGTCTGTAAACTACAGCAGTTCTGTAAGTAATGTCTTTTTTTCATAATGCAAGCATTAGATAATTGCTGCAATGTACAGAATCAGAAAATAGAATAAGCTGTTAGAAATAAAAATATCTGCCACATTTAAAAATGTGTGCTTTCTGCTACCTATAAATCCTGATTATTAGTTTGCTCTAATATGAAAGCATGATGAAAAATGTTAAACAGAGATAACAAGTCTGTATAATTTTCCCTGTAGTCCACTGATGAAAATAAACAATATTTATTTTGACTTGTGTTCAGTAAAAATGTATTGGAAGGTATAAAATGCCATGCATGTTTAAAGTGTAATATAAATAAATGATCATATTTGATCACTATAATGACTTAGTGAGGGTGCCAGGGGCTATGTTGCTTTCCTTTCACAGATGATGAAGCCACAGGTGACCCAAGCTGATTGGTAAAATGTCTGGGCAACATTCTTCACTACCACACTATGTATGGGATTCTTTACCAGTATACTATTTCTCCCAGTCTGGTCTAGCTTGTCAAAAAAATAAGTATTGCTGGATAACTGTACATAATCTAGTTATTATCTTAGATATTAATAACCTATGTTTAGATAGTATTATTTATTTTCTGTGTTAGGGGATATGTTACTTGAATGCTAGTTGTGTGTACTCAGTTATGACAGTCTAATATGTACCCGAAAAATCCAAGGATTCTTGTCACATATTTATATTCTAACACTATACTTAATCAATTTGTGACCTAGCTCTAATTTAAAAATATTAATTAACAACTTCTATATTTTGTTGTCAGATAATATTGTAAAGGCACTCATGATAGGTGTCATTGATAAACAAATGTCGTGCTGATCTCCATTTCTGCCACAATTCTTCAATGCTATCTATATAACATAGGCTATAAGTGTCTCTCATTTTATTTATGCATCAAATACATTCTTTGTAAGTAATTTTCTTAAGAGCAAGTGTCTTCCTTTGATTTACCTATTCTTTCCTTTTGAGTCCCTCTTGTCCCAGCTGGACTGGAGATCTTCACCCACGGGTCTTTGCAGTGGTTATGGGTTATGTCAGAGTGTTCTCAGACTCAGAAAATAGCCATGCACACTATGTACCTCTCAGCACAAACCCTCGCTTAGAGGAAGACTGTTCTCCATACCATGATTATTCTTCCTTCCCGCTTATTCCCACACCATTCCACCTTTCCTCACTCCATCCAAATCCTACTCATCCATTAAGGTGTACTTTAAGCTGTATTTGGCCTATGAAACCTTCCTCAATCACAAATTTCCTCTCCATAAACATTGTAACACACTTCAATAAAGTAAAAACACATGTACCGTTTTGTATCACTCATCACTTAATCCTATAGTGCCTTATAGAATTATGCCTGGGCTTGGGGGATGCGTCACTGGATATTTTGTCCTTCTGATTATGTAAGATTAAGCAATGTTACAATCTCCAACATCTGGAAGACCATTTCTCTTAAATTTTGACAAATGCTGAAAACTTACATGTGTTTTGTATTGACTTTCACCTTTCCCCTAGGTTCGGTATTTCCCAAATCTGCATAATCATAATAGTTACCTGAAGGATAGGTACAGATCATAAAATACAGACCCCAAGGCAGGATATGTTGATTTCATACATGTGGTGAACAATTTTTGATGACCACCAATTATCCTCATCCTCTAGTAATACCATGCCTTTGTGTATTCCTTTCTGTCGGTATATAGATGGGTCCTAAGTCTTGTTTCTAACCAATAGAAGACAGGAAATGCAATGGAATATCAATTTCACAATGGTGTTACTTAAGATCATGACATCTGCCTTGCTAGCAGATACCTGACTCTCTTCTTTTGCCGTTGATGAAGACATCTGCCCAACGGAGAATACTTTGTGGCAGGAACTGAGGGTGGTTTCTGGCCAACAGCCAGTTAGATACCGGCTGTTGAATCACATGAATCATGACAACAATCACATAAGCTTAGAAGCAACTATTTCCCCTGTGAAACCAAAGATGAGACCTCAGCCAGGTGAACATCTCAATTTGCAGCCTTGTAAGAGACCCCAAAGCTAAACTGTGCTCAGATTCAAGACCCACAAAAGTTATAAGATAACAAATATGTGCAGTTTTAACCTGCTAAGTTTGTGATAATATTGCTATATAACAATAGGCTTCTAATACTATAGGTCAAGGGTAACCTCAGTAATCTGTACCCCAAATGATTTCTGTGATCAACAAGGTCAGGAATATTGCTATACAACAATAGGCTTCTAATACTATAGGTCAAGGGTAACCTCAATAATCTGTACCCCAAATGATTTCTGTGATCAACAAGGTCAGGGACATAATGGATATGTGGGATCTGTACATTTTTGGCATTTGTTGTGATGTCAGTGATGAACATGTGAGTATCTTGAGATGTTGAGAGCTTCGAAGCTAAAAGGCTTACCAAGATAAAGAATTTAACGCTTACCAAGATAAAGCATTTAAAATCGACAGCTCTGGGATCAAACTAAAGTTGAAGGTGCAGACATCAGTTTCTGACAATTCCAAATTGTATCTGAGCAAATTCCCTATATATGTGGTGAAGCCTACCCTTTTCTTAAAATTTAAGAACTGAGATGGAGAATAGAAACAGACCTCATCATTAAAAAGTCTAAAAAATGGCCTTGGAGAAAACAAACAACTTCACTGGGATGTGTATGTTTGGTATATTTGAGAGATAATAAATTCATCATTGAAGTCTTACCTTATACATTTCTATATAACCACACAAGTTGAACAAATGTACTGGTTTCTCACTACCTTTCTGTACTTGTATACTTACTCTCTGTGTCCAAGTATCGCTTTTTTTTTTTTTTTTTTTTTTGAGACAGAGTCTCGCGCTGTCACCCAGGCTGGAATGCAATGACTGGATCTCTGCTCACTGCAGCATTCGCCTCCCAGGTTCAAGCAATTATCCTGCCTCAGCCTCCCCAGTAGTTGGGATTACAGGCATCTGCTATCATGCCTGGATAATTTCTGTACTTTTGTAGAGATGGGGTTTCACCATGTTGGCCAGGCTGGTCTAGAACTCATGACCTCAGGTGATCCTCCCACCTCAGCCTCTCAAAGTGCTGGGACTACAGGCATGAGCCACTGCACCTGGCCTCTTTTTCTTCCTTTCTTTTTTTTTTTTTTTTAAACCTCAGAATTCCTAACTCTACTATAGATACTTTTCCAGAGAAAGTAACAAAGGGAATAAAATGTTCTGCCTTCTGGAAAGCAATATTTAAGAAGCAAGTGGAATAAATTTCTGCAAATCGGACTGAGAAGCTATATCCCGGCAGTGGGAAGAAAAGTGCTTTGATGATTTTACAAACGGGAGACAAATTAAACTAGACTATCAAATGACACAGAAAAATAGAATATAATCTTACATATCAGACTGTATTAATAAGGAAACAATCTTTGAAAGACCTAACTCTTCTATCTGTGTTGGTCTCTGGTCTTAAATATTGTTGGGCACCGCATTTATTTAGGCCTATGTTTCACATCTCTGGCTATACAGTAAGTCACCTGGGAAGCTTTTAAAAATTACCATGCTCAGTCCCTTCTCATATGAATTAAATTAAAAATCAGCTGCAAATCACTGATTTAGCCCAGTAGAATGCTAATAAGTTGGAGCAAAACATAGTGTAATAATTAAGAGTATAACCTGAGTTTTAAATCCTGGCTCTGCCACATCTTGCTTACTTGACTTTGGGCAAATTATTTACTCAGGAAAGGCCTAAGCTTTTCATTTCAAAATGGAATAACAGGAATATGTAATCACTTATACCATACTAAAGATCTTAGAAGAATGCCAAGCATAATATAAATGCTTAATGTATTTTGAGTCATTTTCTTCTGAAAATGGCCGTCCAAATTCCTAACTTGCCAGTTTATGGTCAGAGAATTTAGGCACTGGGATTATCTGAATTTCCTTCTTTTTTGTTTAATCTTTGTGAGTACTTATATTTAAAAATTGATGATCTGGATTCTGTATAAAGCACATTAGTAAAGCCTCACCCTAGAATGGATTTCAAATTGGAATAATAATAGTCGATTTGTTTCAGTGCTCACTGGGTATCAGGAACTTTTCTCAGCACTGTATTATAACAATTCTTCTAGTGTGGTTCTATTACTATCTTTATTTTATAGGTGAGAAAGTGAGAAAGTGGGACTCAAGGATGTTAAATGAATTCCTCATGTGTCTCCCATAGAAGCCTGAGTTCTTAACTACCCTGCTCTACTGCCTGCCATACACATGAAGGATTTAGGAAAACAAAAAAATACAGAGGTTACATGAGAGCACATCACTCCTTGGCACACATCTACCTGGCCACACTGAGAAAGAGCTCATTTTTGTTTTACTTATTATTATTATTATTATTAATTTTTATACTTCTATGGGAAGCTGAGAATAGCAAATTTGTGCCCTCCGCTTAGTGGTGTAGTATTTTTAATATTTTATCATTCTATTTTCTGGAAGTAATTTGAATAAAGAAATCAAAATACACATGACACAGAAATTCTCTTAGGGGTTCTTAGTGTTTGCTCCCTGTTAAATTGAGTCGAAATATCTCAACATGATAATACAATTTTGTTTTCATAAATGAGCCAGGCTTTTAAAGGCAAAAGTATTGTCTCCCATACTTTTATTTTTCCATTGTGAGAGAATGGATTTTTAATAGAAAGATCCATTGAATATAATAGTAAATATCTAAGTAAAGTATGTGGACAAAGTTTCTTTTATATGCACTGTGATTTTGGCATATATAATTTTATTGCTTAGATTAATTTTCATTTCTCAATACGGGCTAGACTTCTATTTTTTTTTTTCCTGAAGAAGCAAAGTTAAGCCTTCTTTCAGAGTTAAAAACTTATTCTATTGTTTACATTGACTGACAAGATTTACTTAAATAAGAGTGGAGAATTCAAATGAGTGGATAATATGACTTGTTTTTTCCTTTGCCAAAAACATATCTTTTTATATTAGAACTTGTTTTTATTCAGACAGCTTTGATTCTGTTTTTTTTCTCTTCAAACGTATTATCTGTTGATTTTCCATAAGCTTATAAATAACTGATTATAACAAAATAAAATATAAACAAATCAAAAGCTACACAAGTACTGCCATAGAACCAATGAAAAGAGATTATAACAATGAGGAGGAAAAAAAGAAAATTGGAATGAGCCAGTCTCAGTTTTAAAAGGCCTGGCACACTGACAAGTGAACATATAAGATCTTGGGGAAATTTTATGCCTCTCTTCTTTTTCCATATTAGTCAGCTCAAATAAAAATTCTGTTTGCTATTGCGCTAAGAGCAATTTCCTAGAGAAAACAAATCTTCATCTTAAATTTCAATCACATTTGGAATTTTCACATTATCTTTTCATTTTGCAAAATTCAGAAAGTAAATTACATAAAGTAAGTGTGCCTTCTGAAAGTATGATTTCCGTGCTTATCTCTCTGTATCACAGGATGGCTGAATTACTTTGTTAATTTATAATAATGCTATCCAGCTCTTGTATGCAAAAAAAAGAAGGAAAAAGGAGTGACTCTTACATGTTCCTAACCCAATGGTTCAAGTTAATTAGACTATAATGTTCACATTTTGAGTTATACAATATTTTTCATAAAAATTATATGCTATGGAGACATCTATTAAAAGCCTAAAGTGATCATTTAAATGCAAAATCTCTGATAGAACTCCATTATATTTTTCATACTAAATTAACATTACAGGCTTCTAATGGATGCTTTAATTAGGCATTGATATAATCAGCAATATTTGGCAAAATAAAATCTGTCACTGTGAAATATTCATTATGTTCAATTTCTGTCAGTCAATATTAAGTGTTTTGTGAACTGTATGATTTAAGTAAGAAGCTAAAGCCTAAGTGAGAAACTAAAAATCCCCAAACCTCCTTATGTGCCATATAAAAAAAAATACATAGTCATTAAGCATCTTTTGTGTTTCATAATTGCCAAACAACCAGCTTCTTTATAGACATTTATACTCAGGGGCACTCCATTAGAAGGTTGTCTTAATGCTTCAGAGAATGAAAAAGAAAAAGATCTATTCTAATTGAAATACACATTTCGTGAAGCAAATCAAATGAAGAGAGTGTGTGTGTGTGTGTGTGTGTGTGTGTGTGTGTGTGTGTGTGTTTATATGCACCATTAGAAGAATTCCATGGTCAAAAGGGGAAAGAAGAGACAATCAGAAAGGGTCACGGAGTCAGCTGAGATGTAGAAACAGAAAAATGCCACACGAAAAGCAGGAGCGGTTCATGTAGGGGGTAAGCAATTACAGGCCAAGGGAGAGCTATGCTGGGAGAGAAAGTGGAGATGCTTACCAGTAATTTTCCCATTGGCTTCCAAGGGAGGCTGCCAACTCACAATGACGGCACGAGGCTTCCCTTCCCTAGTAATGACTGTCAAGTCCTTGGGAGCAGAGGTGGGGGCTGTGAGGTGAGACAGAGACAAGGCCTTGTCATTGGATGTGAAAAAAAATAAACATTGGTGCAACTTTCATCATGATGTTGACATTCAGAATCTATCGAGAAGTATATCATTTCTATTTTGTCATTTACAGTTTATTTCAAGGATTTGAATTAAATAAGCAAACAAGGATACAAAAATTAATAATTTTTATGGAAATCAAATGATTCCCAAGGTGTGATTCAAGAGAGCAGAAGAGAGTATGTGTGAATATAAAGGAGAAAAGTACAACTGGTATTTCAAGTGGGCTCACACTAAAAATATAAGAATCATTATAAGAAGGAAGAAATGTATACTTAGTGAGACAGATGATTACGTATCTTTCTTTAGTTTTTAAATTATTTTTATTTTTATTTTTTTTTTGAGACAGGGTCTTGCTCTGTTACCCAGGCTAGAGTGCAGCGGTGCAATCATAGCTCACTTCAGACTCAACCTCCTGGGCTCAAGTGATCCTTCCACCTCAGCCTCCTGAGTAGTCGGATCCACTGTTGCACACCACTACTCTTGGCTAATTTTTAATTTTAATTTTGATTTTTGTAGAGATGGGTCTCACTATGTTGCTACACTGGATGATTATATGTCTTCAAAAGAATTCTGTTACAACTGTAGGCATTTATAAATAAAAATGTCATCTAATTCTATACTTCCTTAAAAGCCAAAAAGTTTTCAAAAATGAGTTAAAACTGGGGTCAAAATATCTTAGTTAGGTGACATATTAGGCATCTTCTAAACCAACAGGAAGGCACACAAGAGAAATTAAAATAGAAGAGGTAAAAAATATCTACGAGTGTCTTAGTATTAATCCAGCATGAAATAACATGGCAAAAAGTCCTGCTCCTAAGGCTACTTCTCCCACATGTTGTACTCAACACAATTTTAAATATTTAAAGGTGGCAGCAAACTGGCTAAGTTAGCCCAGCATCTTCCAGGTTTATTCCAATCTGCTCTCTCACTTTCTGTGTTTTGGAAGACAGTTTTCCTTCTGGGTAGCATACAATGCCGCAAGTCTATTATCCACGGCATCTTTGCTACCCTTAGTCTAACAAAGGCAGATTCATAACATATTGGGCTCTATGTTTGGGATCTGGAGGAATTTCTTGGTCTCCACATAAAAATTCTGTGTATGACAAGACATTTAGAAATCAGTCTCGAATTCTGAACTCATCTTCACCCTATTCACTTTGGTGCTTCTGCTGATCATATATTGCAGAATCTGTACATTATTAACACTGTATTTCCAGTATCTCTTCCTGAATAGCATTCTGAATATGAGCCAAATAGAGGAGACATCCATCATTCCCATTTATAATACCATTTTCTTTCCAACACCCTGATCCTCAAAGTCACTGGGATTCCAGGTTAACCAAACACGCAATTAATTTTAATGCTCGACAATGTACTTAATATATTCACATTTTCAAAAAAGAAGGAGAAGGGATGGATGGAGAAAGAGAATTAGAAGAGAAGGAGGGAAAGAAGAAGAAGAAAACATAGATCCAGTGTAGTTGATCCCTTAGCAAGAGACTGAATATATACTAACACAGTATAAAATAACAAATGTGGTGTAATATAATATGATATATATGGCTTAATGAAACCAGATCAGGAAATTATTGCAAGAAATGCAGATTCATTATGGCACAATACTAAAAAGACAATGCTGTCTTAAAAAAGATTATTCTCACAGAAAGGTCATTCAGGATATTTTCCCGACTGTGAATGGGAAGGTAAGATACAGTCACAAAATAACTTAGATTAGTATGTATCAAACATCACAAGGAATTTTCTACTTATGGAAGTAATTAAAATCTTTGTCTTTTTTACCAGTGAAAATAGCCTGTTTTGTCTTAACTATGTTAAAATTCAAATTGACGTTTGTTTAGAAAATAGTCAAATGATGATGATTAGATTGCTTCACTGAATCTGTTACATATTCAAAAAGGATAAAGTGACTCTTCAACTTTGGCTAACAACATAATTCATTGAAGAATTAGTTATTTAATTTAAAAAATCTAACAACCTATCTAATTCAGGTGCTGTGCAAGCTCTTATTTTTCCTCAAGGCATGTGAATATTGGTGAATAAAAATTTGGTATTGGAATTAATGACCTAAATGTCTAGCATTATCATATGAACTGCACACTGTTCCTTAATATTTGGAAAATAATATGGCCTTCACAACTTCAATAATCCTTACCAAGTCAAGTAGAATTCGTCTGGCTTGCTCTTCTCCTGAGTTCTTGAGTTCTGCCTGGAATGATTTCTAGAAATTCTTCGTTGTCTACCCATTCTCTTTGGATTAAATATAAATAAAAATAAACACCAGGACCTCTAGGATTTATATTCTACTTTCTTTTTTTTTTTTTGAGGCGGAGTCTTCACTCTGTCGCCCAGGCTGGAGTGCAGTGGCACCATCTCGGCTCACTGCAAGCTCCGCCTCCCGGGTTCGCGCCATTCTCCTGCCTCAGCCTCCCGAGTAGCTGGGACTACAGGCGCCCGCCACCGCGCCCGGCTAATTTTTTGTATTTTAGTAGAGACGGGGTTTCACCGTGTTAGCCAGGATGGTCTCGATCTCCTGACCTCGTGATCCGGCCGTCTCGGCCTCCCAAAGTGCAGGGATTACAGGCGTGAGCCACCGCGCCCGGCCTCTACTTTCTTTTATGTACTTCATGCCCCTTGTTGTCCCCTGAACACTGTGCTCAACTTATGATTTGAGCCAATCATAAGTGTCTCTTTAACACATCATCTTTCTGACACCTGCTTGGGTATTTTTACACATGAGTTTTCCATCCTTTGGAAATCCCTGGAATGAGTATGTGATGATTAAACTAAGCCATAGCTCAAATGTCACTTATTTTGTGAAACTTCCTCTTATTTTTCCAGACAGAATCTGCACTTTGTTTGCTCTGATTTCAACTTGTCCACAATTTTGTGATTATATTTCTGATAATAATTCAGGACTTCAAAAAATACTTTTTCTTTTTTATTGGACCATAATTCTCTCAAATACATAGACTCCTTACCAAGTTCCTATCTCAAAGCATGACAATTTGAAATGAACATTATTAAAAACCCTTAATTAATATCTTGGTCCACTAGACAAGCATTGCCCTCTGATTACTTTGGCTCTCAATTTTTCCTATACTTGTATTTCTTTATTAACTACATGAATGGAACGTAACATTCAAGTTTCAGAATTCAGCCATAGGAATTGTATTGGGCATTTGTTATTTGGACTATCCAGTATCCCATCCTCTCTCCCTTTTAAACAAGGATTTGTTTTTTCTCTTTGAAAAACAAGCTCTCCATGGTGTATATGTGCCACATTTTCTTAATCCAGTCTGTCACTGATGGACATTTGGGTTGATTCCAAATCTTTCCTATTGTGAATAGTGCCGCAATAAACATACGTGTGCATGTGTCTTTATAGCAGCATGATTTATAATCCTTTGGGTATATACCCAGTAATGGGATGGCTGGGTCATATGGTACATCTAGTTCTAGATCCTTGAGGAATCGCCATACTGTGCAGCCATAAAAAAGGATGAGTTTGTGTCCTTTGTAGGGACATGGATGCAGCTGGAAACCATCATTCTTAGCAAACTATCACAAGAACAAAAACCAAACACCGCATGTTCTCACTCATAGGTGGGAACTGAACAATGAGATCACTTGGACTCGGGAAGGGGAACATCACACACCGGGGCCTATCATTGGGAAGGGGGAGGGGGGAGGGATTGCATTGGGAGTTATACCTGATGTAAATGACGAGTTGATGGGTGCAGCACAGCAACATGGCACGAGTATACATATGTAACTAACCTGCACATTATGCACATGTACCCTAGAACTTAAAGTATAATAAAAAAAAAAAAAAAATAAAAAAAAAAAAAAAAAAAAAGGAAAAACAAGCTCTCCTCTGTATCCTGAAAGCTTGGTAGCAATATCGATTGGGAATTCTATAGTCTTATCCTATCTTCTCCCTTCACCTGTCTCAAGAGATGCCAATAATGTTCTCTCTTTTGTGAAACTGAATCTACATACAAGGAAATAAAAAAGGTGGAGTCAAACAATTGCTATGGTAGCACCTTGAGGGGATAGACCACTAGTTCCTCATTTCTATAGCCTAGGAATAATAAGGCTGATGCCTGTCTCTTTCCAAGTCCTAATTATTTAAGGTGTCCTTCCTGTCACTTTTATTTTACTTCAGTTAACCAAAATCAAATGAAGGATTCATTATGTGGACAGAATGAAATGTTTGATTTCAAAAATTTTCCTGCCACTCATATCTTTATCATGAGCCATTTCAACACACAATGGTGTAGCCCCAAACTTTATCTGACAGCAGAACTAGAAGCAAACTTTACAGTTATTTTATTCACTGAATTTCCTTCTCACAGTTATAAAACCTGTAGACACTTGTGAATTACTTCTTGCTTCTCATCATCACTCAGGGATCCTATCTATGTGCTATTTACACTTTTGTCCAGATGATTACCTTTTATACTAACCACATTTCTAAAAGTTAATATCTTTTTGTTAGCAATGGGTCTCACCACTGGTGCCTCTACAAGGCTAGGCGGTTGATGAGAAATCATTAGGGTGCATATATCAAGTCAGATGTTGGCGTGCATTTTATGTTTATGAGAGGAAAAAAATGAATGAATTTGCTCGTATTAAGATGAAAATACTACTACTTCTCTTTCACACAGGGAAGGCCAGATTTCTTACTATTTCACATTTATCTACATTCATCTCCTTTCAAGTAAAAAGGAAGAGCAGACTGTTTACTTGTTCACTCTATCCAATAGTATGTATCTCATCCAGCTGGTCTTATTCACCCTAAGAAGCTGTGAACATTCTGAATTTAGGGTGGAATTCTGAGAAGAAGAGATAATACTAAGTAAAATAGAAAAATAGGATGTTAAAATTAAATTAGGTCAACTAGAAATCTGCTTGTTGAAAGAAGTATCTACAGATATGTAAAAATATTCTCACTAGAACTCTAATAGTTAAGATAATAGTTGGAGAAAAAAATTAGAACTGCAATACCATGGGACAAATTCTAATGGAAAGAGAAATTCAACTTACCCAGGAAAGAGCTTTATTGGCATTTTTTTAAATTTGAAAATTGGTGTAGTTTACCCACAAATATGATATATCATGAAACCAATAAAAAAAAATTAAGCCCTCAATTCTCCAGAAGTTGGATTTCTGTGAACTATAAATGTCAAGTACACTGCATCCTTGTTAAGGTTATAGACTCTACATTTACGATCCATAGTAAATGTGACCAGCAAAAATTACAGTGAATTGCATTACCCTAGATATGAACTATTTAAAATTGCATAAAGGTCTTCTATTACGTTATCCCATTTCCAAAGAGTGAACAAGACCACCTGGAAACTCCTTCCCATATCCAGTCAAGGTTATTCACAGTAAATACCCATGAGACTTCAGTTGTAATGCAATGTTTTGTTTTGCATCTTTTTTTTTTTTTTTCAAGATGGGAAATACCTACCATGGCTATTATTCAAAGACATAACTGTTTTGGACAGAGTTCAATGGATAGATTTCTGTTCTTTACTTAAATGTAGTGAAAAGAAGATTTATAGTCAGATCCCCTGAGTTAACATCTTGAAAAAACCATGTATTGATCATGAAAGCAGATTATTTAAGCCATTGGAGATTCATTTATTTTTCTAGTGTGAGAAGAATACTCTTAGATATAAAAATGCTATGAACTATAGAGGATGAAATATTTTATATAAGATAAGGTATAATTGAGACACCATAGGGAACACATGTTCTAATTTCCACAGAACCTGGGAAATGCGATTATCAAGGGTCAAAGGTAGACATTTCCTCACATACCTGCTTCATACGTGGTGGCATGCGCAGTCATGCTCCAAGTACTGGACCTTCTGTTTTTTGTTACCATGACCGAGAATTCATACATTGTGTTTGGTTTGAGGCCTGTTGCTGTGTAACTTAGAGATGTTGTGTCTTCTGACTATACAAGTAGGAAATAGCAAAGAGATAAAAAAATAAACTCTATCAACTTGGTAAATCAAGACATGGAAAAAGACTGTTAAACAACCCAGCACAAAAGTAATCTACTCCCAAACAGCAGACGAGTAGGGCATAGCACTGACTCGACTTCCCATCTATTAACCAGTTCACACTGGCTGATTATCCATCTACAATATAACCAATAAAAGTAGGTATTATGGTTGTCCAAAGGGGCTACTAGATAGAAAATTTTCCTAGTAAGAGATGGTGAAAGGTCTAACATGTTAAAGCATATTTTCCATATGATCAGGCATATGAGACTATGCCTCTTATAAATGTCAATTTGTGTTTTGTATTTAGATATCTTTTTTCAAAGTTAAATACTTACCTTTATTAAAGAACCAGAGCAACAGGACAAATTCCACTTCCTTCTGTCAACTTGAGTTTTGAAATTTTCTGCATTGAACTTAATTCATTTATAATCAAAATCTGTTTGCTTTTTTTGCAAAAGTTTTAATGTTGTATATTTTAAATAGACCATCGTTATTATTTTCCACTGGTAACAAAGTTAATTTATTAGAGTTCTACTGCTTATCATGTTTTTCAAAAAGCCTTTAAGGTTTAAACTTTTAGGGCTTCCAGAATCCATTTACATCTTATAGAGAACATGAGACAAAAGCAATGCTGTGTCACGTGGTTTTCATTCTTTGTGTAGACTTCACATTAAACAAACATTTAACGATGGTAACTGGAGCAATTGATCAAGGAAGGAACAGCAAATTGGATAAATACTAAAGGATTACATTGGTATTTAAAGCGGTGTTGGTATTACTGTAGTCTTTTGAATCCATTCTTTGTCTTTTAAATGACAAGTTAGAGATATTTTAGTAGAAAGTAAATTATAGTTCTTTATTGCTTACTCAAAACATCAAAATGGGTAATAAAGAAAAAACATGCTGCAAGGTTTAATATGTTAAAGTATATTTTCCATATAAGCAAAAACATTGAGACTATCATCTTATAAATATCATTTTGTGCTTGGTATGAGGTATCTTTCTTCAAAGTTAAATATTTTAAACCTTATTACAGTTATTATTTATGTCTAAAATAATTAAGAAAAGCTCTTTTCCCCCACTTATATCATATGTATCTCACCCTTACTACTGTAGGAAGGGATATCTTTTTAAAAAAATTCTCCTATGAATCCTTCTTAGGTTATAGTTATGAAAACTGTGTATTTCATTACAACACCAAATAAATATGTAACTGTACTAATAACTTTTCGGTGATGTGCCTATCCAGCCTATTAAAGTGATGACCTTAAATATTTATCAGAAGTCTTCTTAAAAATAACTGTAGGTTGGCGCTGTGACTCACGCCTGTAATCCCAGCACTTTGGGAGGCCAAGGCTGGTGGATTACCTGAGGTCAGGAGTTCAAGACTAGCCTGACCAATATGGTGAAACCCTGTCTCTATTAAAAATACAAAAATTAGCCGGGTGTGGTAGCATGCACCTGTAGTCCAAGCTACTCGGGAGGTTGAGACAGGAGAATCGCTTGAACCTGGGAGATGAAGGTTGCAGTAAGCCAAGATCAGGCCATTGTACTCCAGCCTGGACGACAGAGTGAGACTCCGTCTCAAAAGTAAAAAATAAGAAAAACCTGTAAAAATATATGCTCTAAATAAATGTAAATATTTTTTGGTATAATCAGGAAGATGAAATTCCATCAAATAAAACAGAAAGTGGTCAGCTAGTATCTGACATGCAGATATATTACTTCCACTCTTGCCTTCCTTCATGATCATGAACACCTCTAAGTCTTAGAAATGGAAATAAAAGGGAGAAATGAGGCAATAAGAAATATTTTAGGTAAGAGAGAAGGATCATATCTCAGTAAAAACAGTTTCTGGGCACAGAACCACTGGCATTTGAGGGCCAACAAGTAAGATCGTCTTTGTGTTCTAGATTGATACCTTTGCATTCTGTAATACCATGAATTGCTGAGTTTCCTCTAAAACCTTATAGAAAGCTACTGCTTATCTTTAAAAATGCCTAGAAATACTTTGGAAAAACATGGCCAGCTATCTCTGTGAGCATAGAATAACCAGATAGTACCTCTCTGAGCCTTACTTTTTTTTTTTTTTTTTTTTGAGATGGAGTTTCGCTCTTGTCACCCGGGCTGGAGTGCAATGGCGTGATCTCAGCTCACTGCAACCTCAGCCTCTTGGGTTCAAGCAATTCTCATGCCTCAGCCTCCCATATAGCTGGGATTACAGGTGCTCCCCACCACACCTAGCTAATTTTTGTATTTTTTAGTAGAGATGGGGTTTCGCCATGTTGGCCAGGCTGGTCTCGAACTCCTGACCTCAGGCGATCCACCCACCTCGGCTTCCCAAAGTGCTGGGATTACAGGCGTGAGCCACTGAGCCCAGCCTGAGACTTTTATTGTGTGTAAAATGGACACAACCATAGCACTGACTTCATAGCATTAATTAAAGTGCAAACTAAGACAAGTAAAACATAATGTTTGGCCCAGAGAAAGTATTAAATAAATCTTAGATACATTCTTTCATGCATTGTCTCTTGTTGTATGTAATTTTAGGCATGTGTTATATGCCCCCCCCCCATTGAGTTATATGCAGTTTGAGAGCTGAGACTGCATCCTGCACAACTTCATATCCTCTGTAACATCCATGTTATATCTAGTAAGCACTAGTCAACGATCAATGGATATTTTGAATAGAAATTTGTATAAAACATCATATGATTAAATACCTTAAAAGAAAAACATATAGAAAATATCTCCATTTGGTCAGCAAAGTTAATACAGGGTTTTAGACAATCAAACCATGAGCATCTGTATTATAGCTTGATTTGGGACTAAATGGAACTAGAAGAGCACTCCTGTGGGGAAATCCCTGGATAATGCCATTGGGGTCATCTGAGATTCAGCTCTAGTTTAATGAGGAATTTCTGTCAAGTTATATCACCTACCTCTGTCTTCATACTTAACTACAAAGAATCTCATTGTTTTTACAGTAAGTATGGATATTTCCATCATATAGATGAGAAAAAGGAGACTGAGCAGGGTAAGTTTCATGTCAGGATGTTGCAAAGTCAACCCCTGAGCCCAGGTCATGTGGTTCCATGTATGTTTTGTTTCATATCGTGTGTATGTCCTGCCTACCTTTTAAAGCTGTAGTGGAAATGAGATGAAGTAAAGATATGACATTGGCTTGAAAAGTACAAAGTGAAAACTTAAACAGTCTATTACCATTATTTGTAAAATTTAAATTTATTGTGTATCTTTCTAGTTTCCCCTAACCCTCCTCACATCAGGTTGTGGATATATATGGAGAGAGAAAGAGAGAGAGAGGTATAGTATGTTAGTAATGAAAACCTTCTGTCAGGGAAGATGAAGGGAAGAGGAACAGTTAAAATCTTTTTGGATTGGGTCTCACCTCACAGGCGCTCTTTGTGAGATTCAGTAATTCCATGTCTGCTGTAGTAACTATTCAACTGAAATACTTTGTTTCAGGAAATTTTGGAACTCAAACCATTCTGGAGAAAACAATCATCATTCCTTAGAACATTTCACATTCTGGCAAAGTCGCCATGGCCATTCTGTGAAATGAATGTATCTACAAAGTACAGCAATTATGACATAAAATTTTTAAAGTGAGAAAGTGCCTTTTAAAAGTAAACTTAGAGAATCGGGTAATCTATATAAAGAGATTTTTTTTTTAATGGTCTCATATGTTTCATTGGTTGTCTTTTCTGATGATGTTATCTTTATTTATAGTTCTGCTGAATCTTAAATCTACTACTGTAAGGAGATGGATAGGGTACTTACTACATACCTTATATCAATGATACTATTTAGACTTGCCTGGAGAGTTTTTCCAAATACCTCATCTAACAAGGCAGCAGTACCAAAGAAAACTGTCTTTAAATGGTTTCAACTAAAATCTGATTTATGATGAAATGTGAATTTTATGGAATTTAAAAGTTGAAAGACATAGAGGAAGATCCAGCATGGCTATGGGCAGAGGGAGGCAAGCTTACAGAATTGGTGGTGGGATTTAGCCACAGCTCCAGGACTGGAGTTAAAAACACCCTCGAAATATTTTCATCCCCCCAAAATCACTACTAGCTTGAGGCTGGATTCAGGAGGATGGTAGTTCAGTGAAAAGAACGTTGGCTAAAGTATCAGGAGATCTAAAATCTCAAGAGCTACCCCAATCGAGTGGTTAAGAGAATACAAAAGGAGTAGGAAGGAGACAGATGGCCAGGGTTGAACTATTTGATTTCTTAGTTGTTGGGTGATATTTATGCTCTTATTTTCAAAACTGACTTCTTCATTCCCAGTCAGTATCTTGTGAAGGTTTAAGTTCTAAATGTGTTTTTATACATTGTATCTCTCAAATAACTTATGAATTCTTTTAAGTTTATCCATAGAGCTGAGTGTATAATTCATCCTAAAATTATATGTAATAAGTAACAATGACTACACCATGTTTTCTTTCAAAATAAACCATCTCTCTGATGTAGTATATTTCTAGGTACATCGTAGGTTCTTGACAACTACTTGTTGATCTTCTCATTTTTGTCTACATTTGTATATTTTCTATATATACTAAAATCATAGCAGTTTCAGGAGGTAACAAAATTATCTTAGTATATAACTAGTTGTTATGATCCCTGAGGCTGGCTGATAGAGATGTGAAAGTGGTAATGACTGTCTCAAATATGTATGCCTGAGGAGCTCTTAAAGAGGCTGTGAGATGACTAGACAAGAACGGAGAGCTGGTGAATGAATTCATATTAGCTAAAGGGGAGTGTGGATTGTGAGTTTTCTTTACCACATGAGGGTGTTTTCAAGGCTAAATGAAGTAGATGTTAATGGCTTAGAGTGCTGAGGCTACAAAAAATATCTTCAAGTTATCTATTCCCAGTTATATTCACTGAAAGATGGGTCTCTGTGACATTAACAGAGTCGCTTTGGAAATCAATCTAGATTCCAAATGGAAAAAAAAGATACCAAAATCTATCCAGAAAATTAACATAGATCTCTGCTATTTTCGAGGTACAATGACATTCTCTTGTACAGAATCAAATCATTTATACGAACTTAGCATTTGGTGAAAATCAAATAACATTTTACAGCACTTGATGTTTTCCTGAACCTTGCCTTAGAATTGTTTCCTAAAATACAATTATTCTCATGTTAATTTTAGATATTGAGTTATTAAAATACTTCGTTTTTCCACATAGATACACAGCAACAAAACGACTCATAACAGTCCAGGAGGGGTTTAAAACAATGCATTAAACAACTGTCAGTTCATTTTAAATTTAATGCTATCAAGTAGAACTTCACCTTGTATTTTGCACTCGCAGAAAAGCTGGTTCTCCACCGGACAGTGTAAAGTCGCACCTCAGATGTCTTTTGGTTCTTAGGGACAGAGTTGTCTGCCCAGCTGACCCTCACAGCATCATGGGTAAGAGCCACAGCCTGTACACCTACTGGTGGGAGCATGGGGGTGGAGAGATCTGGGACCGAGGTGGGGAAATCATCAAGCAAAGGATAATAATCAACTGGGTCAGTGGGATCTGGGTTTAAAAAACCCACCAAATGAAACAAACAAATACATACATAAATAAAAGCGTTAAAAAATAAATATCAGTGGTAACACATCACAATGAGTTAAATGCATGGCAATAATGATGAAAGGGAACATGAGAAGAACAGAAAAAAAAGTAATTAATTCAATCGGAAAACACATTAGAAACAGTATTGCTATATTGCAAAAAAGTAATTGAATATTTTCTATAATTTACTCATTCCCTTAGTGTGGTTTTATCAATTTGACTGTCACTTCTGCTTATATATTTTAAAGTCCATTTTTAAAATGTTGCACATTGCTTCTTAAAAGATATAGTCATAGAATCTATCAGTTTTACTACTACATAATTTAAAATAATAAGATAAAAAAAGGGTTCTGGTTTATTTCTGTCTACAAAAAAACTAATTGTTTATCTAATACCTAATTTTTTGTTTATTTTCTCCCCCTTGTCTAACTTAATAGGGTTTCCCTAATGTTTTCGTTGTTGCTTAGCTTGTATCCACAAACACATTTCCTAGGCAAGAAATAAATAAATAATAAAGAACAAAGTACCCTGACATCCACAGCAACCTGTGTGTGACTGTGATTGCACAAAGCCAGAGTGACCAGGTACACATGATCCCATGGATCAATTATATATTTGATAACTAAGTTTCAGACAGCACCTGATTTGTCAGGCTTTCTTAGACTGGAATCCTTGAAAATGTAGAAGTGTGATTTTACCCACATTCCCACAGAGTAATTAGCTAAGTTTTTAGTCTTGGTAGGAGTTCCCATATTCCACATTCCTAACATTTTATATTATTGGATGGGAAGACAGGATTAACTACCTACAGACTTATGAGATTTGCACTGAGGTATACACATGCTTTGATCCATAATATAATGAGAATCTGCACAATAATGTGTGTGTCTTTACAAAATTCTCCAAAACACCTTGTAATCATGTTTATGCTGTGATATCAGAATAAGGAAAGCTGATTTTGGGGCCATAGTAATAGTCTAACTTTGAACATTTGATTTTACACTTAAAACATTTACATTTAAAAATATCTTTATATTATGTAGTGTATATTCTAACAAAAATAATAAGATGTGATAATGTAACTCTCAGACTGGGCATATGATGACATTTGGGGAGATGAGACCTACTAAAATGTTGGGTGTCTACAGCAGCATAATACATGGTTTATTTTTTTCAATAACCTAGTTTAAAGTGGATTGACTGCTGGCAGGTTTTGATGATTACTTCACTTTGTCCACTGCATTTCAAATGCCTATCTCCTATTCATCACCTGTTTTCCAATGAATTATTTAGTAGTTTACTAGTCTGTGGTCTTTGGAGCAAAATATAAAACTGAAAACAAAAACTGGGAAAAAAGGAGAGAGAGAGAGAGAGAGAGAGAGAGTTGTGTTTAAAATTTAATGACAGAGCTCAGGGTTTCTGTGTTTTCTTTGATGTCTATTTTTATTAAGGCATCCTTTAAACTCAAATGGATTTATAAAATGATGAAGGGGAAAGAGAAGATGTTGCAGTCTCCACAAGGATTTCAATCATTCATCAGATTTGTGTAGCAGTGGAAGACATATTTGCCAAATTAAAGCAGGTGCTACTTTGCTTTACTTGTTTCTATTTTTATCTGACTTTACAAGAAGAACGTGATATACATATTGGAGGTTCTCTAATTTACAGACTCCTTTTTTGACCTATGTTACTGGATTACCCTCTTTGTTTTATTAATTCAGGTTCATTGGTAAACATATTAACTGTACAGTTTTTCACAGGTGTCATTCATAAGGTTTTGAAATAGGGTGATTTTTCTTCAAGAAATGGTAATAGTCAATCCTGCTATTTCTGATCTTAAATGAGTATACTATTCATGACTATTGTTATTGAGTTTCTTGGAGTCAGTTCCAGAATGCTTCTCTCAAATTTCAAGGAAGGGTGTTGGGTGGTATTTTACCGATGGACTTACACAGTCCAGAAATTTCTATCCTTGGCCAAGTTTTATCTTTCCCATTTTATGGAATAATATTTTTTTCAGGTGTGGCTTGTCATCCTACATGACACTTCCTCCAGAACTGTGCTAGTACAATGAACACTAGTTATATGAACTATTTAAGTTTAAACAAATTAAAATTAAATAACAAAACATTCACTTCTTGTGTTGCACTAGGCAATTTCAAGTGTTAAACTGTTAGAAAAACCTAGTGTCTGATGCAGATATAGAGCATTTCCAACAAAGCACAGCATTATCATGCATAGCAAGCACAGCTATTAATACATATTGCATATATTAATAATCTTTTTCTCTCAGGTCAGAAACTATTAATATTTGAATAATTGAATTTAACACATTCTTTTGTTGCTACACAATTTTTTTTCTCTTCCTACTACTGGGTGATTTATACACTGACTTTGAGTGGTTACATTCAAAAGAATTGAAAAAAAAGTTTAGTAAAAGACAAAATATAGCCTCAGAATTTTTGCTAAGAAAGAAATCCATTTGATTCCTAACAGGTGTTTCGGTAAGTGCCCATGAATGTTCAGTCATTATATTAACATTCAAAATGAACTTTAGATGGGTGTGGTGACTCATGCCTGTAAAACCAACACTTAGGAAGGCTGAAGCAGGAGGATTATTTGAGGCCAGGAGTTCAAGACCAGCCTGGGCAACATAGCAAGACTCCATCTCAAAAAAAAAAAAAAATGCCAGGTAGGTGGCGCACACCTGTAGTCCCAGCTACCCAGGAGACTTAGGTGGGAGGATCACTTGAGCCCGGAAGGTCAAGGCTACGGTGAGCCATGACTGCACCACTGCACTCCAGCTTGGGCAACAGAATGAGACCCTATCTAAAAAAAAAATGAACTCTAAAAATAATAATGCAATTTTACATGTGGATTGCACTTCATTTTAACATTGATAAAGCAGTTGAGAATAAATCAATTCAGCAGCGTATTTTATTAGTCTTCTGATTTTTATCCTCTTCCCTTCTCCAGGCTCAAGATATCTTGTCCTTAAGACAACAAGAAATAAAGGGCTTTACAGCAAAAATGAGACAACTAATGCATTTGGCCAGGTGAGACTTTCAGCAGCTCTAATGCTGATATTCCCAATATGGGATGAGGCTCCAGAGCTCACCAACATCTGTGGGCACATGTGTGTAGACAACTCCATAGCCTGATGCTTATTCTAGCTTGAGGTTTTATTGCCTGTGATATATTTTTTAGTTACATTATACGGGCCCTTGTTCAAGACAGTGCATGGTACTCCTTTGCAGAAGCTTAGAGATAGAGGATGTCTTCTGCATGGCACTGACACATTTATTAATTGAGTTTCCTTAACCTTTTATTTCATCTGTCCTTTGTTCTCCGTGACATATGAAAGCAAAATAAAATAATTCTGCCACTTCCAGAAAATGTGTTTGTTTTTTGTTTTTTTTTTTTCCTTTGAAAAGGGCTGGAATCACACATTCTTCTTGAACCCCTTAACTGGCTTTTCTTCAGGAAGAAAATTCCTCACACAAATTCCAACTATTAGTATTATTTCAATTCTCAGTTCCTTCAGGATCTGAGTCATCAGAAAACAAAAATTGCCTGGATCACTGGTGTTTTAGAAACCACTTTGGGAATGCAATATGTTAGAATTAATGCAACAAATGCTAAGAAGAATGAAGCTGATGACTCCAATGGTTCTTTCTGAACAACTTACTTTCAGTTTATTTGAATTATTTCAGCTTTACCAGTTTCTGATTGAAAAGTGATTTTTATTTGCCACCTCAGTGGTCCTTCCTTGTGGCCATTAGTTTTGGGAAGAGAATAAGAGCTTGAAAAGACTGACTGTAGTATCATTTCGCATGGCCTGATCACAAGTGCCAAGTCACCATGGCGACGAGAATCTCCTGGGGATCTTCTACTATAGGCAGGACAGAGATGGTCACTAAAGAAAAATTATGGGACACAATGGTGCAGCCAAAGTGGCCTGTTTGCTCTCAAAGAATATTGTTGCTAGCAGAGCAAGAGAATAAAGTTAAAATCCCAGACACCCATCATGTTAGCTCTTAGTTTGTATCCTGAACTTCAATTTTTCTCATCTCTCAATATTTGGAGATAACACATTTGATAGTAAATATTCTCTGGGTTATTTACTCTTTTAGAGAAGTCATGAATCCCTTTGATTATACAATGAATGGTATATACGGTCTCCACAGATAAATAAATATACTGACATCCACCCAAAAATTTGCATTCTACTTTAGAAAGAACTTAAACCTGGAAACAATGGCCAAAGATTCAAAGGGACTACAATAGCAACTTTGCCTTAAATAATACTACTAAAATTAATACAGTGACAGTATATTCTGGAGACCATCACATAACAATTATGAATTCAAAGAACAATTGTATTCTTAAGACAGTCTACGAATGAAGCTTGCACATTTGGCAAACAAACTGCCTTCAGTTCACACAAATTTGGGCAGAAGTAGAAGCCACGGGATTCCACTATTTATTTTATAACTATTTCTTCCAACTCATCCAAATTTCAAACTTCAGTAACATCTCATGTTCTCTGGTGCTTGCTATCTCAGATCCTTTGTTTTCATTAAGGGGACAATATCTGACAAATTAAATGAGGTCTGAAGGGTGTGAGGGGGCAGGTTCAATGTATTAATGAGAAAGGGAACTTGGGTTTTACTTGGAGATTTCAGACATAAGTCTGTGGCAGGGGGTTGGGGAAGTAGTCAAGTGACTTTCCAGGGACTCTGAATAGCCCTACAAATGTGTTGCTTATTGTATTTTGGATTAAGCCTAGGCATGCTAACAAATAGCCTCCATAAATAGTTTGGATCTCACCATCTTACCCATTTCTATCTCAGTTTCCTGAGCCCTTTTACTCTTATGTACTGCCTTTACAGTCCAACTAACAGTAAAATTCCTAAGGGTGACAAGGCCTTAAATCAGCTATCCCTTTAATGTTCTGAGGCCCTGGGCACTGCTTGGGTGACCCAGAGGCCCAGCTCAGGACAATACCACCTGTGTCACTCAGCCTAATGCAAACTACCCCCAATGGCCAGCTCTTCTTTGTCATCTTAGTTTGAAAGACACTGTGTGGAGAAGCAAGTGTATATTTAGGCATTTGGCAACCTTTATGCAGGGACAAAGATGGCATTGATTTGAGACAAGCTGCTCAGGAGATGGAAACATGGTATCAGGGCAACAAAACTATGATGCTATTGGGAAGAAACAGACTGAGAGATCTATATTCTCTAAGCCCATGTGCGAATTTACAAACTGAATTCCTCCCACTTAATTCTGACAACCAAAGAAATAAAAAAATGCATGTATATGTGTGCATGTATACATGTGTACATATCAGACTCAGAGGATAATAATTCTCTGAGGATTATCAGAGGATAATGAAACAATATATTCATTTTTGTTTCTTTGTATTTTATTTTAGTTTTTCTTTTTTCACCATAAATCAAATACTACTTTGTCAGAGGAAGATTAACAATTTCACTTACCTGTTATAGACCTGGTGGTGGCACTTTCATAAAGAGGAACTCCTTCTCCAGCATTGTTAAAAGCTTTTAGGGAGATTACATAATGGGAACTTGACTCTGGAGAAAAAACAGAAACAATATGAATGTGTTGATTTATTTAACATACTGAAATACTCAGGGCAAACATTTTCCTCAAAACAAATTTCATATAATCTACTTGGTAAATTATTTAAGAATGAGTGAGTTGGATTCAGAAAGGAAAGTGGCAGTGGGTGGGAGCAATAGGGTTTTTGATCTTCCTCAATCCCATATGAAAACATACTAGGTAGAAAACCAAAATCATTTAGCCACTCGCTGCAAACCTGTATGATGATGCGTGCCCTCGAACCCTAATATACAAGTGGGTGTGAATAAACAACCAACAGCCTCATCATTTGTTTGTTGTCTGCATCTGTGTAAGAAACATCAAAGGGAAGCATCAAACCTAAAATCAGGATAATTCTAAAATAAGTATCAGCTGATGCTGGAAAGCACAGCAGATCAGTTTCAGAACAACAAATTTAAACACTCAAAACTGACCTGCAAAGTCTCCTCTCTAGGACTGGGCCCAAACTGGGGACAACCCCCTGGGAACTGATGTAAGATATATGTAAGACTGAAACAATATTGATGAAGGGGAGAGAAAGTCCAGATAAAAGTAGGGGAGAAGAAGAACCATGAAAATTCAGAAAGCAAGCTGCCATAGTTTTTAGTCTGTATCCGGAGCTGGCAAACTTTTATAGGCCCAAATAGTAAATACTTTAGCTTTGAATGTCACATTATTTCTGTCACATTTTTATCTCTGTTTATTTGTTTACAACTCTTCAAAAATGTAGGAACCACTCATAACTCAGGCGTCCATACAAGAACAAGACCTGGGCCAGATTCTACCTGTAACCTGTAGTTTGGGGAACCCTGTCTAATGAAAAGAAAAGGACAGGGAGCTCTGTGTATTGAGAAGAGCTCTCTGAATTTCTGAAAGAACAGAAAAAACAAATTGCATTAATATAAGCAATAAAAATCTATTGAGGTAAATTTCTTTACAAATTACCATAAGAAAAAATAAAATAGAATATCATTCCTATAGAATATTACAGAAAATGGATAAAAAGTGGAAGAAAATACCCAAGAAAAATAGATCAAAACTGCAATTTATGGGGGTGGGGGGCGACCAAGATGGCCGAATAGGAATAGCTCCAGCCTCCAGCTCCCAGCGTGAGCGACACAGAAGATGGGCGATTTCTGCATTTTCAACTGAGGTACCGGGTTCATCTCACTGGGGTGTGTGGGACAGTTGGCGTTGGTCCGCGGATGCAGCCCAACCAGCCAGAGCTGAAGCAGGTTGAGGCATCGCCTCACCTGGGAAGCTCAAGGGGGAAGGGAATTCCTTTTCCTAGCCAAAGGAAATTGAGACACACAACACCTGGAAAATCGGATAACTCCCACCCTAATACTGCACTTTACCAAGGGTCTTAGCAAATGGCACACCAGGAGATTATATCCCACACCTGGCCCAGAGGGTCCCACGCCCACGGAGCCTCCCTCCTTGCTAGCACAGCAGTCTGAGATCTAACTGCAAGGCAGCAGTGAGGCTGGGGGAGGGGCGGCTGCCATTGCTGAGGCTTAAGTAGGTAAACAGGGCTGCCAGGAAGCTCAAATTGGGTGGAGCCCACCACAGCTCAAGGAGGCCGGCCTGCCCGCCTCTGTAGACTCCTCTTCTGGGGACAGGGCACAGCTAAACAACAACAACAAAAAGCAACAGAAACCTCAGCAGAGGTAAATGCCCCCGTCTGACAGCTTTGAAGACAGCAGTGGATCTCCCAGCATGGAGGTTCAGATCTGAGAACAGACAGACTTCCTGCTCAAGTGGGTCCCTAACCCCTGAGCAGCGTAACTGGGAGACATCCCCCACTAGGTGCAGACCAACACCTCACACCTCACACAGTGGGGTACACCTCTGAGACGAAACTTCCAGAATAAGAATCAGACAGCAACACTCGCTGTTCAGCAATATTCTATCTTCTGCAGCTTCTGCTGCTGATACCCAGGCACACAGAGTCTGGAATGGACCTCAAGCAAACTCCAACAGACTTACAGCTGAGGGTCCTGACTGTTAGAAGGAAAACTAACAAACAGAAAGGACACCCACACCAAAACCCTATCAGTACGTCACCATCATCAAAGACGACAGGCCGATAAAACCACAAAGATGAGGAAAAAGCAGTGCAGAAAAGCTCGAAATTCAAAAAATTGGAGCGCATCTCCCCCTCCAAAGGAACACAGTTCATCGCCAGCAAGACAACAAAGCTGGACAGAGAATGACTTTGACTAGTTGAGAGAGGAAGGCTTCAGTTGATCAAACTTCTCAGAGCTAAAGGAGGAACTAGGTAACCAGCGCAAAGAAACTAAAAACCTTGAAAAAAGAATGGATGAATGGATAACTAGAATAATCAATGCAGAGAAGACCTTAAAAGAACTGATAGAGGTGAAAACCATGGCACGAGAACTACATGACAAATGCACAAGCTTCAGTAACTGACTCAATTGACTGGAAAAAAGAGTATCAGCAATTGAAGATCAAATGAATGAAATGAAGCTAGAAGAGAAGTATAGAGAAAAAAAGAGTAAAAAAAAAAATGAACAAAGCCTCCAAGAAATATGGGATTATGTGAAAAGAACAAATCTGTGTCTGATTGGTGTGCCTGAAAGTGACAGGCAAAATGGAACCAAGTTGGAAAACACTCTACAGGATATCATCCAGGAGAACTTCCCCAATCTAGTAAGGCAGGCCAACATTCAAATTCAGGAAATACAGAGAATGCCACAAAGATACTCCTCGAGAAGAGCAACTCCAAGACACATAATTGTCAGATTCACCAAAGTTGAAATGAAGCAAAAAATGTTAGGCATCAGAGAGAAGAGTCGGGTTACACACAAAGGGAAGCCATAAAGACTAACACGCAGATCTCTCCGGCAAGAAATCTCCCGAACGCAGACAGAGAGTGGGGGTCAACTATTCAACCATCTGTGTAAGAAACAGAAAATTTTTCAACCCAGATTTCATATCCACCCCAACTAAGTTTCCATAAGTGAAGGAGAAATAAAATACCTTTACAGACAAGCATGCTTAAGAGGATTATTGTCACCACCAGGCCTGCCCCTTACAAGAGATCCGAAGGAAGCATAAACATGGAAGGGGAAATAACCGGTACCAGCCATATACAAAAATCATGTCAAAATGTGCCCATCGATGATAGTGAAGAAACTGCATCAAACGTAACGAGCAAAATAACCAGTTAATATCGCGATAATACAGGATCCAGTTCACACCATAACAATATCTAACCTTAAATGTAAAATGACTAGAATGCTCCAAATAAAAGACACCAGACTGGCAAAGTTGGATAACAGATCAAGACTCATCAGTCCTGCTGCGTATTGCAGGAGACCGCATCTCACATGCACGAGACACAGCACAGGCTCAAAATAAAGGATGGAGGTCAAGATCTACCAAGCAAATATGGAAACAAACAAAAAAAAAAGCAGGGGTTGCAAGTCCTACAGTGCTCTGATAAAACAGACTTTAAACCCACTCGAAAATCAAGAGAGACAAAAATGCCATGTACATACATGGTAAAGGATCAATTCCATCCCAGAATGAGCTAACTTCCTAAATTATATACTGCAAACCAAGTAACAGGAGCCACCCAGATTCATAAGCAAGCCTCCTTTACGAGAACTACCAAGAGACTTAGACTGCCACTACAATAATAATGGTGAGACGTCAACACCCACTGCTCAACATTAGGCAGATCAAAAAGACAGAAACGTTAACAAGGATAGTCCAGGCAATGTGAACTCAATCCGCAACCAACCGGACTTACATAGACATCTTACAGCAACTCTCTACCCCAAATCCAACAGAATATACATTCTTCTCCAGCATCACATTGCCACTTCATTCCCAAAATTGACCACAGATTTGCGAAGTAAAGCACTCCCTCAGCAAATGGTACAAGGATACAGAAAATTATAACAACTGTCTCTCAGCAACCACAGTGCAATCAAACTAGAATCCGCAACTAAAAACTCAAACATCGAAAACCGCTCAACTACCATGGAGAACGGAAATAACTTGCTCTGGATTACTGCGGTACATAACGAAGATGAAGGCAGAATATAGAAGATGTTCTTTGAAACAACACATGAGAACAAACATACAACATACCAGATCTCTGGGACACATTTAAAGCATTTAGAGGACATTTATACACTAAATGCCCACAAGAGAAAAGCTGGAAAGATCTAAAATGTGACAATTCTAACATCAAA